ATTTAACCTAATTTTTTTGTCAAATAATTCTTAACTTTTAACTTTTAAGTTAAGGGATAAAAATTGTATAAAATTTTAAAATTAGGAGACTAAATATATATATGGTCAAACTTAACATACTAACTAATAGAAGATTAAAAAAATATTTTTCATAGTTAAAAAATTAAAAATGTGTATAAAAACGTTAAAGGATCAAAACTATATAAAATCCTAAAGTTGAGGATCAGCATTTAACTATAATAATAGCATGGGTGGGCTTTTCCATTTTGGGTTGGGCTTATGAAGGGGCCTCAAAAGCGAGTAAACTTGGTGGTTAGTCCTCAACTTTTAAGATTGTTTGCAAAGTCTTCCAAAACTTTTAAAACTGAAAAATTATGCTGGCACGTGGATAAACTTGACCTTTACTCACGTTGGAGTCTTGGAGATATAAAGCACGTGAATTATATATTATGGGGTTTATTTGGGTTTCCCATTGAGCTGTGCATGTTCCTCTACTTTTTCTTTTTCTTTTCATTTTTATGCCAATCCTTTTCTTTTCTTCAAGAGCAAGGCCCTAGATTTTCCTTTAGTGTTTCCTTTGCATGCTGCTAATCCATTCCTTGCAAATGAGGCAACAATACACGTTCTCTGTCCTTCCCTGCGAAACTTGATGTCTAGGAATTCTTCAAAAGCATGTTCAAATTCAGTACAAATTAACTAAAAACTGTCGCCACAACATAGCACCTTCCTCATCAAAGATGGCAGCAAAACTGTTGGAGGCTGCTCGGTTGGGAAACATTGCTGCATTTCTCTCATTTCTCAATGAAGATCCCTCCCTTCTCGACCGGGTAGCCTTAAAACCTGTCGACAATCCTCTGCATATAGCAGCATTGGCCGGACAAACAGATGTAGTCGGAGAAATCATAACCAGAAAGCCTGCTTTTGCTAAAGGAGCTAAACCAGGATGGCTTTAGCCCCATGCATATTGCCTCAGCAAATGGTCATGTTGAAATAGTAAGAGAATTGTTAAAAATGGGATCTGATTTATTTCTTTTGAAGGGAAAAGATGGGGTGGTCCCACTTCACTGCGCCGCCATGAAAGGGCGAGTGAACGTCGTGAAGGAGCTGGTTTTGGCTTGCCCTGAGGCTCTAAGGGAAGTGACAGCACTTGGTGACACAGCTCTTCATTTAGCCGTGAAGAGCAACAGTATGGAAACGGTTAGGCTTTTGATTGAAGAATTGAAGAGGGTTCAGATGACGGAAATCGTCAACTGGAAAGACAAGGACGGGAATACCATTTTGCATTTGGCAACCTTCAGGAGACAACATCAGGTAACTAACTACTGATATTTTCATTGCAGTTATATAATTTTCCATTTAATGCAAGTTATTCGTCACATAATAATACAACTGATGAAAAATGTTTTAGAATTATGTATGGCATTGGACTATTCCCTGCCCCGTTTAATTTAATTTTATATTATATGTTAATTACCTTGACCTTTCAATTCAAAGTCTTTTGTACGAACAAGAGAGCTTGCTTGTTATCTACTAACTTAAAACCTTAATTTGGAGTTAAATCTGATGTTAAGCAGCTAACCCTCCAATATACAAAAAAAAAAAAAAAAAGAAGGGAAGTTTCTAAGTCTTTTGTTAATCTCCAACTTTTATGGATCTCTTGTAATTTCATGTAGTTGCATGATGTAAAGATGTGCCTTTTAATTGATGACAGTAAGTCATTGCAGATGCTAGGTCTCTTAATTGGTGAAGGAGCAATTGTTTCGGGAGTTGAAGCAAATGCTATGAACTCAGGTGGATTCACACCAAAGGATATCATGGATCTTGTGCTACAAAATGGGTGTGATGTTCATGACATTCATATTCTACAGATGTTTCAGCAATTTGGAGCAGTAAAATCCAAAGAAATTAGGACAAATGCCAGAAATTCTGAGCAAAACCCAGAAAACAAAGCTACTCTGTTTCAATCTTCTTGTTCCTGGAACCTGTGGAGAGAACTGAAGAAAGAGGTTGCGCAATCATCCACAGACACCCAAAATGCATTGATGGTGGTGGCAGTGCTGATAGCCACGGTGACATACCAAGCAACCCTCAGCCCGCCGAGTGGGTTTTGGTCAGTGGAGGAAGGAAGGTCTCCCACAATTGGCGTTCAGAAAAGGGACTTATCACCTGGAGAAGCAGTCATGGCTGGTAACCCGGAAATTTTTATTGTATTTACAATTTTCAATGCGATTGGTTTCTTTGCTTCACTTGCCATGATATCTCTGCTCACAAGTGGATTCCCCCTCCGAGCAGGGCTCCGGCTTGCCATCCTTTCAATGGCCGGAACTTATGTAATTTCAGTGATCTACATGGGGCCTACCAAAATGAGAGAAGTGTATGTAGTGGTAGTGGTTGTGACTTTGCTTATTCTTGCAGAGTTTTCCAGGTTCATCATCTCGTTGCTCAGGAAATGGGGAGTTGTTGCTGGTAGAAGGAGCCTTTTATGTAATGGGAATCAGTCCAGAGTTTAGAATCTAAAACCTCTATTGTTTCTCTGTTTTCTTCACTTCTACTTGTTTCTTTTATGTAAACTCTAAAATAAGGGTGCATTGGGTAGTCATGGCTACCATAAAAAATAATAATAATATTTTATTTTTAAAATAATATTTAAAAATATTAATTTATTAACTAATAAATATTAATTATATTAAACAATTATTAATTATTTTTATTGATTAAACATTATTAATATTTTTAAATATAATATTTTACAATTTTAATAACCTTAACAACCCATAACCATTCTCATGGATTATCCTCCTAATTCCCAATTTCCTCTTACCTATATTGTTATTTGTTAATGGGACACTTTTCTATTTCAAAATAAGAAATCTAAACTCTAGGATGTAACTATTATAAAGCAAGAATATATAAAAATAAGGTAAAACAATGAGGTAAGAAGAGACGAGAAAGTATATTTGAGTTTTTTATTCTTCCATTTCTTTCACTCTTCAATTTTTTGTTTTTAGTTTCATACAATGTCAACCTATATATAAGTTAAAAGATAATAAATATTACATAAATTTAATAGATGAACTTGACTAGATTTGTAAGAATAAAGTTGACTAAATTCATGGATAAAACTTGATTAAAATATTGAATAAATTAGAACATTGAATAAAGATTGCTAATTCTATAAATGTGTTGATTCAATGAATCCAATAGCTTATTAAATAAAATTTAGTAGGTGAAAAGATAAAGGTGAAACATCCATTCATTTGTATAGTTTACAATAGTTATTTGAATTTTAGCATAAACTACTTCAATGTTTTTTAAAACCAGTTAAAGAGATATATATAGTTACAACAATATCATTTAGATATTTACAATTG